CTATTGTAGATTGAAAACAGAGACTGGACTTGGAGCTGAGCTGCACGCTCCACAATTAAGATTGAAGGACACATCTTGACTTGGAGCTGATGGGTCCTAGAAAAACGATTGTTCCCTGAAAAAACACATTGTTCCCCAATAAAGTTAAAAAAAACACCCAAACTTAAAAAAAAAAGCAAATTAAAAAACAATGCATAAATTAAGATCCGATTTATGAGTGTGGTTTAAATACACATAGTCGGATACATGCAGGTAGACACACACTCCACACACCCCACAGACCCCATACACAGAGAAACCCCACCCCTTACGCCCCCCAACACACAGAGGACCCAGAAGGAAACACCAAGCACCAGATGGTTAACAGCTACTTCTGGAAAGAGAGATAGAAAGTGAGATTATGGGTGAGGAAACTTCTACCTTTTAATTGTTGCTATGTATATTTCCATACTATTAGAAATGTTTACATTGATGTTATCACCTCAGAACTTAAGGAAAAACTGATTTTTTAAAATGTAATGAATAAAATAGGCCACTGTAAACATCTCCTGTGAATGCGTGATTCCAGAGGGCCAGCGAGTTGTCTCATAGAAAGCTGGAGCGGACAGGAGGCAGAGGGGCCTGCTTCCTGACTGGGTCGTCCTAGGGAGTCACTGGTGTAGCCTTCAATGTCCGGCGAACCAGAGAGCCACCCCTGTGCCTGTGGCTGTCGGCGTGCAGGAGCAGAGCTTTGGTGGAGGTAAGCGAGGGTGCCCCTGCTGGCCGGCCCCATAGTGCTGTTGAACCCAACCTTTCAGGTGCCCTCTGCTCTCCAGGGGAGGGTGGAGGAGGGGCACAGGAAGCCGCATTATGGGGAAGGCGGGCCCTCGGATTCTATCAGCTAGCCATCGGCAGCACGTCCGTCCCTCGGGGAAGCCTGCTTTCGTCCTCCTCCTCCTCCTCCTCCTCCTCCTCCTCCTCCTCGCTGTGAAATCCAGCCAGCCAATGTGGATCCCTATTTTCCCAGCTGCCAAGTCACCATGAACAATAACCCTTTCTTGTTGGGACATACAAGTTCCCTCCATTCTATGTAAAACAGCTGCCTTGTGTTATCTTTTGCTTTCCTTCTAGGAGGGCAGCCTTACCTTGAGTCTTTGAGGGAACTAGCTTGCCTAGAGGAAATGGGCGTTGTCCTGGAAGCAGGGTCACCTGAAAGCATACAATACCTCAGGAGAGGTCAGGCCTGAGTGAGGTGGCCCTGGGGAAGAAGCAGGGGGCTGGGCATCAGGGCCGGGCTTTGGAAGAAACGGAAAGCCATAAGGCGGAATGATGGAAGATGCTAAGGAAAGGGGCAAGGGGCAGTCCTGGGGCTCTACTGGGGTCACTTGAAGACCACCTTTTATACACCGCCCACTCACCTATCTCCCCTAGCCTGCAGGTGTGGAAGGCCACTGGACTCTCCCCATGCCAGCTCTGGTCCGCCCTTCCTTAGTCATTCAAATGTCTTAGGTAAAGCCACGCACCGTGACCCTTAACCCATCAATCATGATGGGACACTAGATGGTCTGGGGACAAAGCTAACCTTTCGCTGTCTTGTGGAGACAGGAAATCAGTCAAGGTTTTTATAGTCAAGTTCAGAAACCAGCTGTGCCTCTTCCTAGCTGTGATCGCTGAGCTTCGGTCTCCTCGTGTAAAATGTGCCACTAATGATGCCTATTTATCAGGGGTGTTGTGAGGATTGAATGAAATAATGGGAAAACAACATTTAACCAATGCCTGGCATGTAATCTCTCAGTTAACAACCAATTGCACCAGCTGGGTGGGAAGTGTGGGACTTCAAGTCTAATGGGATCATGGTGCCACCTTGTGGTTGCTGTCTCTCAGAACAGCTGGTTACTATTCAAATCCAATTATTACCCTTTTTCAAATCTTTGAGTAGGCGGTGCTTGGTAAAACTCATTATGTCAAGTCTGTAATGGTCTAAGTACGTGTTGGTGTCTAGAAAAGCATCTTAGGTCTTAGAAAGAGATGTTGAAGAGCATCATTTGGGAGGACCCCACAGCTCCCCATGGAAGAGATCTAATTTATCATCATTGTCCACATACCCCCAGGTGTTCCCAGCTTTGGGGGTGAACAGGAAACAAGGGTTTGTTGGCTTTAGAGCCGGGAGAGGGGAAACGTAATCAGGTTAAAAACTTCTCAGTTTCCAAGCCTCGGCCCATTTCCAAGTCAGCCTGTTCCTCCTCTTCCTGTTGCACCCCTAATCACCGCCTCTTCTAAAACTGCAACCCCCCGTTCCCTGCTCCCCTTTCCTGCTTCCTTCTGCTCCTTAGCACTTACAGGCTCTAAATACATGTAGCTCCTTTACTGTCTTGCCCCATTTGAATGGACTGTCCATGAGGGCAGGGGTTTCAGTGTTCCTTCATGGCTGTTATCTTCAGCACCTTGAATAGTGCCTGGCTCATGGGAGCTGCTCGACTGTTGATTGAAGGAAGGAATGAAAATGAAGGTGGAGTCAGAGATGGGAAAACTAGAGAAGCTCTCCCAGCATGCCACAGGGTTAAAAATGGAAACTTGTTTCCTGAGGTAGAACAAACGTTTTCTGGAGAGGCAGTAGTTTCCAGCAGACTCTGCCCAGCTGACCCTTCTCTTACTTTAATAAATCTTCCTCCTATATAAAAAAAAAAAATTTTTTTTTAAATAATAAAAGTTTTCTAGAGAAAGGGCTGGTGTCACGTGTGTGCCTCCAGTGCGGTCACACAAGCCCCACATGTAGAAAGACCTGGCACTTAGAAGGGCCCGGCACCTGGGGTTGAATGCTGTGATTGCAGCCTTGAGATTCGTAATAACTGTATCTTTGAATTTGTGTTTCATAAGTCAAGTCCAATGGACAATGGCATGTGTGGGGGCTTAGGGCCCCAGTGCATGCATGGCCCTGCCTCCTGCCTCACCCTTTGGTACACCAGCTTCCTCTTCCTGCCTGTATCCATGACCACGGCCACACTCTGCTCCCATCAGGGACCTGGGCATGGGCAATGGAAAGGTCAGGGTTGGGTGCTTGTGCTCTAAAGTATCTCAGGACAGGGCATGGCAGCAGCTGCCCCCTAATTCCTTTCCCTCATTTGGGGGCTGGCAGCCCCATGGCATAGCTGGTGGGTAGCCAGCTGGAGGCCATATCTTGGCAGGAGTGATCTAGGTACCCTCATCCAGGAACAAAGGTCCCAGTTTAGAGGTGTTAAGATCCTTGGGGGTGACCTAGGTGCTGTGGGTTGGGGCAGTGGGTCTGAGGAAAAGGGAAGTGCATGGCGTGACTTCTCCAACCTGGCAGTGCACAGGTCTGGCGGCTGGAGGGAGAGGGGATCAGCAAGCACGGGCAGGGAGTCCCCAGGTGCCTGTCACCAGGATCTGTGTTTTTGTCATCCTCCTGGATGAGCCACAAAATACAAGTTATATAATTTCAGTGATTCTACACATGAGCTCATGTGCTATTTGCATTTAAAACTGGCATCGTACAGCATAAAAGATGACTTGTAAAACTCATGTTAATAATTCAAATTTTGAATTGTTCTTTACTTAGAACTTTAATAGCAAATAACACGCCCATAAACAGAGGCCTTGGAAGAAAGGACCAAGTTTTCTATGTACCTTTAATGGTATTGCTTCCTGCTTCTTGAACAAGGAACCCCACGTTTTTTATTTTGTACTGGGCCCTACGAATTACACTCGACGTGTGTATCAAAGTGACCATTAGGATTAATCTGTGGGTATAGCAGAAAGGCATGGTAATCGGTTTCTGATTGTGCTTGGATATCAGCTGTCTTAGAAAGAACTACATTACCAACTGGATGGTAAACTTATAGTAAAATAACGAATAAAGGAGATATTTCTTCCCATTGATTATTAACCCTTCATAACTTGGCCTTATTCCATTAAGCTAAAAGGATGAGCATTGCTAGGAAAACATCACATGAAAAATGATGAGCACAACAACAAAGACTGCTACTGGGTCGTCGGAAAAGTCATGACGTATTTTTTCTATGTTTTTTTGTTGCAAAAGTGTCATGACTTTTCCGACAACCCAATAATTCATATTAAAAGTCAGACATAAAAAGGAATCCATCAAGGGCCGACCGAGTGGCATGTTGGTTAAGAGCTCGCTTGGGACGCCAGCTCTGAGCAGCAGGGCTGCAGTTCGGATCCCACATTGAAGGCCAGTGACGCTGTGCCCTCTACAGCTAAGATGGTGAACAACAGCTCGACCTGGAGCTGGGCTGCTGTGAGTCGCCAGCGACGGCGTAGGCTGCAGCGGGGCTGCAGTGGACTGTAGTGGGCTGCCGTGAGCTTCGTGAGTGGCTGGCAGCCAGCGTGAGCGTGAGCCGGTGTGAGCTGCCGGGAGCCGCTGTGAGCGGCCAACCAATGACCGGCGAGTGACTGCCTCACCCGGGAAGAGCACAATGATCACACCAACATGGGCCAGTGAAGCGACGTCCTCCACAACTAGGATGAAGAACAAAAAAACAGCAATTTGTCTACCTGTCTGTTCCCCTTCCCCAATTCCTCAACGCTGTTCCCCTCCCCCCAATTCCCCAATAAAATCTTTAAAAAAAAAAAGGAATCCATCAAAACCAACATAAATTGCCTTCAAGGGTGGGGTCTATTCCAAGTTTTGGCTTAGGCCAAGCTTCTCAAGCACGGCACTACTGGCCTTTTGCTGTGGGGGCCTGTCCTGTGTGTTGTAGGATGTTTTGCAGTACCCCTGGCCCCTACCCACTAGATTCACTAGTACCTGCCTCCAATCACTACAATTCAAAATGTCTCCAGACATTGCCAAATGTCCCCTGGGGAGGCAAAATTGTCCCCAGTTAAGAACCACAGGCTTCGATGGATTAATGACATGGAGTAAAGTGCCATTATTGCTCTTGTGAGCACCAGATCAATGCTCTTACCTACCCCCAGTGCCTATGAATCATAAACAGACTCCCTCCAACTAAGACACCAACAAATGCAAGAGACATAGATATAGGAAAACTAAAGAATTGTTTTATTTAGTGATAAAGAGGTGAGTAAATGACAGCCAGCTTATATACAATTAAACAGAATAAAAAGGGGGGGAAAAAGAATACAGACATCACAGTGATGAATTTTAACAAACGTGACAGATTTGCACTACAAGGCAACGGGATATTTGTAAGCGATATTTATAAGTAAGATATCATGGTATTAATGACCAGTTCGTATCCAATTAGGTTTTCTAATCTCTAGAACTTTTCAAACCTCAGACTGTAAATTTTAAATCCAGACACGACGATTGGAAGCACACCACTCAGCCATTTAAAAGTTCTCAGTAAGGGCTACCCCTGGGTAAATTTTTTTTTTTCCTAACATCATTTTTCTCCAACATTTAGCATGTAACATTTCTTATTCCAGTAGTAATCACATTCAGGATTTAAAAGCCCAAGCGAGAAAGTGTCATTCTTTCTATAAAGTGTTCTTTGAAAAAGAAAGAAAAACTAAAGGTGTGGACATTTTATATAATTACTGCTGAAAAACAGCAAAAGCAATTCCAAAACATCGCGCTTACTGTACAGAGAAGCATGGCTCACAGAACCAAGTATATCAAGCTACAGCAGTTGAATATCAGTCTTGACAGGGTTGGCAGCAGTAAACGCCATGCACAGCTCTGTGTCTCCGGCTCGGCTAGCGCATGCCCAGAATCTGTCTGCTTTTCAGCTGGTAATTTTTTTCAATGTCTGACAAGGCTTGGGCACGCAGCTGGGCAGCATGAAGCCTTTTTTTCAGGTCTTTGCACTTGGCTTTGGAGGTGAGCTGACTCTCAGAATTCTCACTCTTCACGACGTTCTCCTTACTCTCCCCGTTGAAATGAACTTTCTTCTTAATTATCGAGGATGAAAGATTGAAAAGTTCTTTAGGAAGAGAAAAAGGGTTTTGAGTTATGTGAACAGTTCAACTCCTCCATGCTTATCATACTTATCAAAAATATTTACTCCTTTCAGTTCACATTTGAAATCTGGGTACCTGTCTTAGTTTCTCTGGGACAGGAGGTTAGGGACCTGAGGTCGGTAGAAACCAAAAAAATCAGCCTTTTAATCTGGTGCTGAAAAAATAATCCTGGAATGTGCCAAATATCAAGGGAGGTATGTTTCATTCTCTTAATAATAGCTTTTTTCTTAAAATTACATGGGCCACAACATAAAACTTCTGGAAATCAATGGCACTTATCTCCACTCTTGAAAACAAGTGCCATTCTACCTAAAACACATTACTTCCAGAAAAGTATGGAAACAGCAGCTCTTTCTTAGAGAGCAGCTACTGAAAGACTCTTTGGAGGTTGGGGAGCCGCAGGTTTGAATTCCAGAAGCTTTGTATTTTTCCTTTGTGTTCATTTCAAGAAAATAAGTTCAAGTATTTACTGAGCTCATTGTATGGGCCACTGTGGATCAAACAAAGGCCCTGTTCTCGGAGGAGGAGGAAGAGGCGATACACCACAAACAACTAAACAAGCCATATGTGGACTATCTGAGGGTATGTGCTGTGGGGAAAATATCACTGGGAAAGGCAGGCAGATGTGGAAGTTTCTTAATGAGGTGACTTTTGAGCAGGGACTGGATGAAAGTAAAGCCATGAGGCTATACAGAGGAGTAGGCTCCAGGCCAACAAAACAGAAAGGCCCTGCCGCAGGAGTAGACTGCCCAGAGAAACACTGCATTCCAACTGTCCCATTATCCTGTGACCTCCTAGCTGTACATTGTTTCTGCTTCAAGCACACTCATTGTTTAGCCTTACCTCCATTGTTTCAAATACCTCCGCCTTTATTACTACACATACCTATACATTTATTAACCAACAGCATAAATTGTAAATCTTACTAATGGGATAATTTTATAAGGAAGAAAAGTGTTTAGAAAAAGAATCAGTATTTCGTGGGGTGTCCAGTTAGCTCAGGTGGTTAGAGCACAAGCTTATAACACCAAGGTTGCCGGTTCGATTCCCACATGGGCCAGAGTTGCACCCTCCACAACTAGATTGAAATGATGACTTGACTTGGAGCTGATGGGTCCTGGACAAACACACTGTTCCCACTAAACTTTCTTTAAAAAAAAAAAGTTTAAAAATTAGTACTTCGTAAAACAGGCTAACAAGAGCTTTGAAAAAGATGCTGTCGCTTACTGTGATGATCTTGACATATTTACGATGCTTTCCTTATGTCTGATTTGATAGCCCAAGGAGGGGAGAGGATATTTCCAACTGTCCTGAGTTCACAATGGCACCCAATTCCCACTGCTTTGTTGTTTACCTTCAGGTTCAGTATTTTAAAATACCTCCTAGCCCCAGTGGATACTCAATTCCTACAGCCCATTTTAAGTACTTGCCATGATTCACATAAGGTAGATTCTCTATCTACCTGTGTATCCTGATAATGTGAAACACAGCATCCTTCTCTAGCTCTTTTCATCCTTTGCTCAAAGACCCTCTCAGAACAAGATGTGGACATACTCTTTAACTGGAAGAGCTGTCCCCAACAGGGCCTCCAATAATTCTCAGTAATGGGTTTCATGCATGAAACTCACCCAGGTAAAATATTCTTCTTGGTCTATCACTGTAATCCTGATTTAAGACTATTTTGGGCCGGCCGAGAGGCTCATTGGTTAAGAGTTGGCTTGGGAGCGCGAGCTCTTGAGAGCAGGGCCACCAGTTCGGATCCCACATGGGCCAGTGACGCTGTGCCCTCTACTGCTAAGATGGTGAACAACAGCTCGACCTGGAGCTGGGCTGCCGTGAGTGGCCAGCCACAATGTAGGCTGCAGCCCCTACTGCAGTGGGCTGCCGTGAGTGGCCGTCCAATGGCTGGCGACTGACTGCCTCCCCAGGAAGAGCACAATGATAATACCAACATGGGCCAGTGAAGTGATGTCCTCCACAACTAGACTAAAGAACAAAAGGACAGCAACTTGTCTGTTCCCTCCCCCAATTCCCCAATAAAAATCTTTAAAAAACAAACTATTTTGTCGCTATGGATGGCAGTGTGGAATCTAAGAAAAGCTGAAATAAATATTATAAAAATACTGGAACGGTAGATAACAATGCTGAAGAAAAAGAAAGACTGTAACACAGGCGAAGCCTAAGTTTTACGTAATCTTTGTTTCATTCACTAGTTTCATTGATTCCCATCACCTATCACTATAAAGTTACTATAACCATCACACTTAGTTTTTTTCTCTGTTCTATTTACAAAATGCTGTCATGTTCACTGAAGTGACCAGATTCTCTCTCAACTTATTCAAGATAGAAATGACAGCCTTCACATATGAAGTATGATAAAAAAATACAGTGAATATTTAAATTTAAAAAAATTTATTACAGTAAAAGACACATTGCCATTAATCCCCCTAAAAATACTCCCCCTTGCTTCAAACGCTCTTATCACATCATTCTTGTCACTTTCTGAAGCAGTTCTGGAAGTCCTCTTTAATGTCTTTACTTCATCCTCCATCATGACAACACTACATGTCACAATTGCTTCTGGTACGGCAATTTCTGTTAATTAAAAACATTATGGTGTGTCCTCATCCACCTTATTCACTGGATCTGGCACCGTGTGACTTCTGGCTCTTCCCCAAAGTCCAAATGACCATAAAAGGAAAACATTTTCAATTGGTTCAGGACATCGAGGCAGCCACGACAGCGCAACTAGACACTCATGAAAGAGGAATTCCAGAACTGCTTCAGAAAGTGGCAACTATGATGGGATAAGTGTGTTCAAAGCGAGAGGGCATATTTTGAGGGGGATTAATGGCAATGTGTCTTTTACTGTAATAAATTTTTTTTATTCAAACATTCACCATATTTTTTAATCACACCTTGTATGCTGTTTTACTTGGTATCAGGGAGCCATAAAAACTCTAAGTTTCATTGAAAATTTCACTGGAAAATTTTGAAAATCAACAAAAAACTTTTAAAACTAATTTGTATCATAATCAAGAGGAAAGACTGAATGCTTTGCATTTTCCATAATCCTAAAGAGTCGATTAAATTAGATTTAGGGTTTCTGTGGAATGAGAACACCTGTTAGAGTTGGTCCACTGGTACACACACTAACCACATGTCACTAACACAGAGCACTTGGGACAATGCCCACAAAGGCAAGCCCCGGGAAGGCTGGTTGGCTATGTACAAGACCCTGTCGATATATACACAGAGTACATGTAGACATCAGACAGTCATATTTTGACAAATACATGTTTCAATTTGAATGGGTCTTAGCAAAGACCCAAAAGCGATGGCGTGTTCCACCGTTGGCTTATCACACCTGGTAAGCCACATTTTCTGTGAAGGATGACGTGGCATGGATTATGTGGGCATGTGGCCACAGTAAAATGCTAGTATTCCTGCTTGAAAATGGGGAGAAATAGGGGCCGGCCGAGTGGCTCAGTTGGTTAAGAGCTCGCTCAAGAGTTTGAGCTCTGAGCAACAGCGGTTCGAGTCTAGCCCGAGCTGAGCAGCCGCTGAGCTGCCAACAGGTGGCAGGATGGCTCAGCTAAAAAAAAAAAAAAAAAAAAAGGGAGAAATGTAGAGTTCTAATAACATACCCAGAGAAAAATCTGAAATGCACAGCATTGTTTTAAATGTCCTATTTTGAAAAAATAAACACCAAATCATAAACACATAGTTTGATAAGGTAAATAAAACTAAAGATGAAATCTTTATGACTTATTGCCTCAGGCCTATGAACCCAGTGAGTAAATCATTGCTATAACAGAATTCTTACTTCCATTGAAATTCATATATTGAATTAACGCCATCTTAAAACTTGAGACTTTGTAAATGAAAAGGGCTACCAAAGCCTCTTGAAGCAACACGGGTGCCCATTTCTTCACTGGCAGCAGCAGCTGTCACTGAGTTGATGCTCTTACCTGGACTGCTCGCCAGAGACAGCAGCTTCTCTTCCTTCAGCAGGCTGTAGTTCTTCATCAGGCTCTCGGCTCGCGCCACTTTATCCTCTGCCAGCCTCTCGCGAACACAAAGCTCTCGTTCCTTCTCTTTAAAAAATGAATGGAACAAGAAAAAAGAAATTAACAAGTGGCTTTGGGTATAAAACGATTCATTTGGTAGTCTTGTCACTTTTCCTGGTCACTAAGATGAGAAATGCGATGTGAAAGGTTTCTTACTGTATAACCAGGCCCATTTGCTGGTGCTCGTTTTTAATTCGGTGTTTTAATATGTTGTGTGTTGTCTTAGTTTTTCTTGTAAGGACTGGTTTTAAGCACAAGTACAAAGTTAGCTTCAGCCTGTGGTCAGGTTGTGGGGAAATAACTCATTTGGGGGGATAAAAAACCAAAAAACAAAACACTGTTTCTGCTCACCACTGAAAGCAGGCAGCAGTTCATTTTCTGGGTGTTACCTGCTCTTACAGTACAATCCTCTCTTTCTCTGGGTGAATGACAGCACCCAAACAGAAGGGACTAAACCACAACTGAGCTAGGAGGGACTTCAGATCAATAACAAAGGCTGTTATTTATTCATGGCCCAGAATTTAGAAAGTTCAGATTTCAGTTGCTATATGAAATTCAAAACACTATAACCAGTGTTTTTTTTTAACAGAATTCTTTTTTTTAGTTTCAGGTGTACAAAACAATGTAATAGTTAGACATTTATACCCCTCACAAAGTGATAACCTCCCTCCCCCAAATCTATTACCCCTCTGACATCGTATATAGCTTTACAGAATTCTTTTGACAGAAAAGTAAAAAAAAGGTTTCCAGGGAAGCATAGGTTTTCTGTCTACAGAAAGCATATCTCACAGTATTACACAATTATCATTAGGAAGTGAAATATTAACAAATGCATTGGACGCTTCATAAGTACACTTAAATAGAAAAAGATTTCTGAAGTTTGCACTGGGCTTGAAGCTGCAGAAGCGAAGTCAGGTGAGAGCCAGGAGGGTGGTAGGAGACAGTCATAGCCACATCTCTCGCCTCTTAATGTTAAAATGAAGAGGCTTGGGGCTGTTGCTACCTTGCCTTGCATAATTCTAAAACCTCCTAGCAGCTCTCACTTTAGTGGAGTAGACAGAATTCCAACACCAAAAACGAATTAGCACCTAATCATTTAATACCCATGAGAGTTTTATAAACCTGGACTCTCTTGTACCACATTATTGAATTGTCTGAACATAGCTAGTCCTACATAGTGTAGGATTTTAGACCTGGACTGTATTGGACCAGTCATATCAGAAGGTAGGAGTTGTTTTTTATTATGGAAGGCAGCAATTCGAAGACCTTCCTTTACAATGTAAAAACTTTAGGGTATATATATTAAGGAACAGAAGAAAAAAGTAACAGTAAAGTATAATGTATACATAATGTATTATATATGCATACTATACTTTTTATATCATGTATACATGAAAAGCTACAAAGTCTTCAGGAACATATAGTGAATACTGTGTTTGCACCCTCACAGTGGTGCCCAACAATACAATGATAGCACCTGATCTCAGACAAAGAGTTAGCTCAGGAAGAAGGTGCCAGCAGCCTTGATTTACATATTTTACAATACATATTTTGGTTTCTCAGGTACAGTAATACCTTGGTTTGTGAGCATCATTCGTTCTGGAAACAAACTACTTGTATTGCAAGACATTGCTCGTTTACCAAGTTAAAATTATTAGAAATGTTTGCTCATCTTGGGGAACTCTTGCAAACCAAGTTATACTCACAATCCAAGGTTTTACTGTATTTATAAGAATGTTCTAATAGAACACATATCTATAAAACACTCCTTTCACGCAGATTTTTCACACACATCACAGTAGCCTTCCTGTAACTCCCCTTTGCTTTGCCCCATTCAGACTTACGCTCCAGTCTTTCTTCTCTTGCTTTGAGGGCTCGCTCTCGTTCCTGTAACTGTATTTCCTTTAGTATCAGCTCACTCAATACAGGGCTGGAATCCTGCAGCTTTTCTGGTTCTAATCGTCGCCCTCTTCTCTCAGAATTTCTTCTTTGCTCTTCTGCAACCAAGTTAGCTATCAAAGGGTTCTCCAGAATTTCTTCAACACAAGGTCGATGGTAATACTGGGGGAAACATATTCAGTACTCTAGTCAGATTTCATAACAAAATACTCATCCAAAAATAGCAGTTACATTAAAAGGGCATCTATGTCCAAGGCAAAAGAAAGTACTCTTTTATGGATGGGCCTTACCCACCTGTAAAAATAAGTTCATTGGGGCTCTAATTCACAAGGTTCTGGGTCCACAAGGTAATGCATAGTTTTACTTATCTTTGTTCCCCCTTTAACCTAGAAGCCTCCATCCCTGTGCTGGTGCTTGGGAGCATTGTCAGGGTCTGTTTTAGGGCAGGCACTACCCTTGTTTCTCTAAACTACAGTAAGCAGGATGCTCTCTCATGGACTTTCAATCACATTACTTCACCTATCTATATCCCTCTTTGTAACCCCACAGCATTTAACTTTTACATCAGCCTGATCCCTAGGGCATCTCCCTCCCCATTCATTCCATGGCCAGATTTTTTTTCACATAATCTGTTTCTTCAAGTTATTTCCTCTACTCTTTTTAGCCACCCCTCCTCCCCCAGACACCCCTATCTCTGGTCTCTCTTATTCTGCCTCTTGCTCCAGTGGACAGAGTAACAAATTATTACAAGGGGAACTGAGGATTAGGATCCTTTCTGCCATCTTTTCTTGTTAGCACGGCAGAGAGTGGGAGGCAACAAAAGGAAAGAACAGAGGGTAGACCAGCACAGATATACAATTTGCCAAATTCACATGTTTTCACTCGTGTTAACAGAGTAGATTTAGCTAAGGAAATATCTTTAATGTTTCTTCAGTCTCATTGCTCTACAAGGAGAACTCATACTCCAAAATTTGAGAGATAGAAACAGACAATATAATCTTACAATGTTTACCTTTAAATTTAACATCCTTGTAATAATGTCATTCAATTCATCAGAGTAACGATATGGAATTCGCCTGAATTTGCCTTCTCGGATCTTCCCAGCTAATTCTTTCTGGTTGAAAGCTGTAAATGGAGGCCTAGAGAAAAAAAATTTTTTTTAATGTAAAAATGAGAATACATTAAGAACCAAATCAAGAGCGTGGTTTAACTCCAGTTTCTATTTCTGTTTCTACTTCTGCAATTTTCTTCTGTAGATATGTTTCCCAACCTTGGCACTACTGACATTTGGGGCCATATAATTCTTTGCTGTGGGGCTGTCCCATGCATCATAGTATGTTCTGCAACATCGCTTGGCCTCTATGCACTAGAAGCCAGTAGCTTCCCTAGTTGTAAAAACCAAATATGTTACCAGACAATGTCAAGCACCCCATAGGGCAAAATTGCTTTCTTGGTCTCCAAATTTCCAGACCTCTCCCCTAGATCTTTGTTTCATTTCTTCCATAGGCCTCACCTATTTGCTGTCCCCTTGAGCTAAGCATCAGTCTAACAAGGAAGCATCTAACCAAGTTGGAAGCTTGAACCAGTTAAGATCCAGCCTTAGGCGTTATATTATTAATTTGTAAATAATTTTTTTAGCCTGTCCATCTACCTTATTTTAACCCAAGGTCTGATTCTTTCAGACTTGAATGTGCATGGATGGTCAAACAGCTGAATCCAGCGAAAGGTGACAAACCTCTCTGACTCTAAACCTCAGACTAGAAATCTGTCTTCATCATACTTACATTAGTGCACACAATTCATACAGCAAACAACCTAGTGACCAGATATCTGATTTCTCGTCGTAGGACATGCAATTCATCTGTTCCTTCAGGAGGATAAAAGGTAAGAAAGGAGGAGTAGTTAAAAGTTTATTTTATTTTTAAACTTATAAAATTACCCCTGAGACAAAAACATGGAACTTTAAAGTTTGGTAATATTCGTTCAAGGGAAAAAAAAAAAAAGGGAAAAATTTTATATTATTAATATTTTATACCTGTAACAAAAATTTCAACTAAAAAAGGCTGATTCAGCTTATGTCAGATCTTGTATCATAATAACAAAAGATGACACTTTATACTTCATCTTCAAATTTATAATGGAAAAAAGGCAATGATCTTATCGTAATATACTTTGTCATACAGCATAATTCATTCACTTACTTTTCCTTCACAAATGTTTATTGTTACTACAGGTGAGGCACTGACAATTCAAAGGTGAATATGAGAGACCTCTACCCTCATGACATTCAGAATCTAGAAATTCTATTTTAAAAGAACCAGAAAAAATTTCAGAATAACAAACACATATATCTAACCCACATTTAAATGGATACAGACATAAATGTCTAATTGAATTATTCACGTATACATTTTCTTAGTCCACTGTATAAACTACAGTAGTAACTAAACATTTTCATTTCCTCTTTTAATTGTTTGCCTTTCTTCCACACTTGTAGTAACAACAATCTGCCACAGCTCTTATCTCAACAGAACACAGGGGCAAGTACCAAAATCTTAGTGTTTTAAAGTCCAACAGGTGTGTCTGATACTATTGCCTGACAATCGATGCTTTGGGGAAGGCTGAACTGATCTAATTACAAGGGCAGCAGGGAAAAGGAACAAAAGAATTGTGCAGGTTTCAAATTTTCCAAGAACCACTTCTGGATAATTTTCCTTTATGTTAAAGGCTTTCTATTTGGAATATGATCCAGTGAGAAAATGACACTGTTCTGGCCGTGTCTAATCTCAGTGAAAAACAAAATCATTAATTTACAGTTTTATACTGCAGTCAGGTTGGTTAACATAACTAAAAAAGATTTAGGAAATCCTGGAAATGTTTGTGAGCTGCTAAAAAAAATTAATCTCTCTCCATTTTTATCTGCTCAATTTCATATATAACCCATTGGTGCTATCACCTATTAGTTCAAGCTTTTCAAAAGTCAATAGGAGGCAGTATCTAGAGAGACACAAATAGTTCACACCCTTTGACCCAATGATTTCATTTTGAGAGCTACACACCAAGAAAATAACGACCAAAAAAAAAGAAAGAATAATTCATATGAATAGCAGTGCTCCTTAAAATGGTGAGAAATTTTGGAAACAAAATACCCAGCAATAAAGAAAATACCAAAAAAAGTATGTGGACTTTGCAGCTCCCTTATAGGAAAAGGCAACAAAAAACAAACAAATACAAAAAGTTAACACTGTAAAAACATGTTATCTGAAGTTAATGAGCCTCCTGAGCCCTGAAGCTCCATAAACAAGAATCATCTAGACGAGAGTCTGTTAAAATGTCGAGTCCAAATTCAAGAGATTGGGGCTTGGAGCCAAAGACTCTGCATTTTGAACAAACATTCCAAATGAGTCTAAGCTGGTGTACCGGACCTATGGCACTTTGGGAAACACGGCTCTTGAGGCCAGAGACAAAACCTATTTCATCTTTGTAATCCCAGAACTTAGCACATGGTAGTCATTCAACAAAAGCCTGACTTGAATTGCCAATACAGAGGAGTTTAATGGTCGGGTGGTCCATTTAGAAAAATGTAAATTTAAAATGAAACAGTGTTATTAATTCTTGGCTATTGGATATTCCTGAACACACAAATAAACAAAACACTCACTTTTCCTGCATTTTAATGCTTAATGAAGAAGTTTAAAAGGTATCTACATTCTGAAATACTTACAGGAGACATGTAATAAGGTGTGCCAACAAATGTCTTTGCAAAACTCGTATCATGGTTTAATATTCTAGCTAGCCCAAAGTCTCCAAGCTTAACGTTTTGCTTGCCATCCAGGAAAACATTGGCTGGTTTCAGATCCCGATGGAGCACAGTATGACCACCATCGCTTCGTCTATGACATTCCTTTAGGGCCAGAGTCAACTGGGTCATCACTCGAAGAACAAACTCTTCATCCAAGTATTGTCTGAAACCAAAGAAGTTATACCACATGTAACTTCTGCATAAAGCCATTACAAAGATGGGATAATGTGAATTATCTAGCTTTCGAAGTGTACAAATACGGAAATAAATATCATACTCCGATATGAAACACGGGTGTTGACGCACCAGGGATTTCCTAAAGTACTGTGGACCCACTAAATACAAGAACTCTCTTTCCACATTACTAAGTACTTTGTCCCCGATCCTAAAACAGGATGCTTAACAGAAATGAAACCAGGCCCATTTTCAGCTTACATTTCAAAGATTAACTTACCTTTCCTTGGTTCTCTTTGTAATTACACTAGCCAGGTCCCCTCCTTCACAATATTCCATTACGATGTACAGTGTTGTGTTGGTTCGGTCAATGATTCGATCATAGTAACGGACAATGTTTGGATGTTTCAGTTCACGAAGCAAATTCACTTCAGAAACAAGCATTTGTTTCTCAGATTCTGTCATGGAGCCATAGTCAAGTTCCTTCCAAACTAATATCTGAAATAAGAATTTCCCAAGGGAAGAATGAACTCGTTATACACAAAAACAAAGAATGAACGTTCCAAAATTTAAAAATTACTTCTCTATTAAACAGATCACACAGTTATTACCATCTACTTTGGTCTGATAAACTTAAGGACACCTGATTTTATTTCCATAATCTTCCTCTAATTTTTAAGCAGTAAATAATGCGATGGGAGAGAAAGGGGGGAGGTGCATTAGGCCTCACCCAACCCCCTCCGCTCACTTGCTTTGTGGGAGTTCAAAAGGTACTCCGGTCAAAGGTGAGGCAGAGTCCGTCCAAGTCCCCCGCCCATGCCAGCCAGCCAAGCTTTTCCAGGGTGAGAAACCTGAGCAAAGATCTCTCCATCAGCAGCCAGGCAGTTTCCTCTCCCTCGTTTCTTTCTGTGTAAAGTTAACCTGCACACATGGGAAATATGGATCCAATACGCGAATAACGGATGTCTTAAATGAGCTCTGACTGTGCCCCCTTTCTCCTGTCCCAGAGTTCTACTCTTCTGTAAAAAAATAGCTCAGGAGACAGCTACCTGTCCCCAGTGCAAGGACCTTGGCAGGAAAAAGGAAGGAAATGGAAGAGAAACGGGGAAAGAATATATATCAATAGACGCAGTCTCCCATCCTTTGAGCAACCCAGACACAGATCTGGGGGAGATGGCTGACTCTTCCCGGCACCCAGCCTTGGAGACCCACAATCCCAGGCCTCTTGCTTCGGGGACGGAGGGCGCTCGCCAATGGCTGGCGAAATCCTAGCCGGGGCGGAGACAGGGAAGGGCCCGCGCTCACCTTGCCGTCGCTCTTCCTCCGGATCTTCTGGCAGCGACCGTAGGAGCCTGTGCCAATGGTGTGCAGCACCTCGTAGTCTTCCACCCGGGTCGGCATGGCCCGGCCCACCGCAGGACTCCAACAGATCGCGCCGCAGCCGCGGAGCGACGGCCACCGACTCCGAAACCACCCACAAGCTACACAGCCGACTGCCTCCGTCCTCAGCCCCGTTTAACCGTCGCGGGCCCTGGCCTCGCAGTCTATTGGCCCAAAGTGAGGACGCTTCGCCTCTCTAATTGGCTGAGAGGAACACAACACCCTGGGCATCTTGGGAAGCCGTATCCCTAGGCAACCGCGTCGGCGTCGGTGTCGGCGTCTGCTTCCTACCTCTAGGGAGAAAGGGGCGGAGCTAGGTCAAAAGGAGATGTAGGCGAGAAAAAGCGGCGGGAAGATGGTTTGTGCAACTCTGTCGCTCTGGCTGAAGTCGCCAAGATAACCGAAATCCAGAGACCTCTTTTCAGACTCCTTTGCACACTGCCTCAACCAAATGCCTTCTGACCTTTGCACTCGACCCCTCAAGTTCCTGTACCCTGCACCTGGGCGGGGTCACGCTGAGGACAGCAGAGCTGAGTACGGAAAAATGAAAAAGTACAGTCCCTTGCTGAAGTGCTAACTATGGCGAGGGACTGTGCCAAGCCATTTACATGTATTGTCTCGTTTATTCCTCAACACAAACCTGTAAAGTAGGAAAATGTATAATGAGGAAATGGAAGCACAGAAAGGTTCGATTATTTGCTTTAGGTCCAACAGCCAGGAAGAGAAGAATCAATGCAAAAACCTTGGATACTAATAATAGTAACGATTTAAAAGTTACACATGACGTTGTGCAAGGTGCAGTCTTCATAGAAAGACTATATTTTGAAAACCGAATTTAGAGGATTGTTCAACATGCGGTGGATGTGTACAAACCCTCAGGGTAGACTATGGAAGTCTCTGCTGCTTTGGAATATCCAGGAGAATATGATGGCTCTAGGCAAACAGGCTTAAACCTTTAAGACTCCTACAAAAAAACCCCACAAAAAACAGACTACCAAATAGGTTATCTGGAGTGCCGAACACATAATTAATTGACAAGACATTGAACATAGCCTTTTCTGGGCACCCACAGAAACCAACAATTTCACCTGACCCAGCCAGACGGAGCAGCCCTATTTTTACCTGGGAGAGGGGACCTAGAGGCCTCCATCCATTATATGTGCATTACCAGAACGTTCATAATTTGGCAATTAGTAAATAGGTCAATTTTCTTTAAATATCTGTTCAGCATGGGATTGAAAGGAACTTGATTTTCTATTAATAAGAATTGCAAACCTCTTTATGTTAAAAATAAGAAATTTATTACACGCACTGAATATAACATAATTGGAATTTCCAGCCAGGAGAATTTTTAACATAACATTCATTCAAGGGCACTCACTGTCTTATCTCAAGGGAATGAGACCGATTTAGGTTTCAAAAGTTATGCAAGGAGTTACAAGTGCCTGTGTTAATTGGCATTATATTTTTTATTTTAGTACCTCTTAAAGACTGACATCCATGGAGCTCTTTGGCCGGCCTGCCCCAAATCCTGCACCTTCTCTCTGGCCACTCTTTTGCTCTTAGGCTTTACCCCAATTCTCCAAACCTGGCACGCTTTCTCAGCTCGTACCACCACCACCACTACCTTTGCACCTGTTATTCCATTTGTCTGGAATACCGTCCACCTGACTCCCTTATCCGCGCCCCCATCCTGTATCATGTCTGCATAGAGGACACGACTTGTCTTTCAAGATTGAATGCCAACTTTCTCTTCTGTAGTCTGGGAAGCCTCTTCTAGCACACTAGAACAAGCAATTCCTCCATCTATAGTGTTCACAGACCACTTGGTACAAAAATCAACCCTCAACTAATTACTTTTCAATATTTGTTCCCATGGGTCTCACAGTAGCTCAACTCCAAGCTTCTCGTAGCAAGCGTAAGTCCTGTAATAAAGGAGTCATGCAATAAACCTTCGTTAAATGAAAATGTGAGAAATCATTCAAGGATTTGGAGGAAGGCCTCAAGTACTCATATTTCAAATGTCCCCAGCACTATGGCAGAGACTAAATATTGGGGAAAGGGCCATCCCAGGCGTATGGAGAGTGACTCCTAGGCTCATTTGTTCATTCAACAAATGTTTATTGAGCACTTACTATAGCTCAGGTATCATGACAGGCATTGATATGCTGGGTGTTCATTAAAAAATAGACAGTGGGGCCATGATGACGATGATAAAGAAAAGAATGACAGGGCCGGCCGAGTGGCTCAGTTGGTTAAGAGTTGGCTTAAGAGTGTGAGCGCTGAGCAACAGGGCCACCAGTTCGATTCCCACATGTGCCAGTGATGCTGCGCCTGAGCTGAGCTTCACTGAACTACCAACAGGTGGCAGGATAGCTCAGCTGGTGTAACAACAAGATTGCCTGTTCGATGGTGGGCTATGCCCACCCACAACTAAGACTGAACTTGGCACCCTGAGCTGAGCTGCGGCCCAGATGGCTCAGTGGATACAGCGTGTGCGCTTAACAACAAGGCTGCTGGTTCCACTCCTGCATGGGATGGTAGCTATGCCCATCCGCAACTAAGATTGAATACAGCACCTTGAGCTTAGAGGCCACGAGCTGCCGACGGAAAGCCAGATGGCGACTGGCGCCCTCCACAACGAAGATTGAAGAACAACAACTTGGCTGGTCTCCCTCCCCAATTCCCCAACACTGTTCCCCTCCCCCAACTCCCCAATAAAATATTTTTTTAAAAAAAGAAAAGAATGACATAAGCATGGCACGATAAGCCCTAATGACTGGTCAGAGTTAGCCCATATAATTGGGTGGGAGTGAGGGGCAAGACAGCACAGCAGAAACCACTAGACACCAGAGTAGAAAGAGTCATTGGTGGTTGAGGAGCATGTAGGGGTCAATCGGGAATGTTTTTACAGGAAACACCCCTTCCCGGCTCATTTACTCCCTCCATCCTTCATATTCCACCCATTCTTTAAAGACTCAGCTCATGCCGAGCATCTTCCCTGAAATTTTTCCTGACTGCCTTCAACCCACCATGATCTCCTAAGAGAGCAATTACCTGTTCTTTACTCATTTAGAATGTGCCATATACTAATCTATATTACCAGCTTCTCCTGTATATCTATCTTACCTGATCTATGAAATAAAAACTCATCCTTCAACAAATATAAATTCCTCTTAAGAAATGAATGTATATGATTTTGTTGTTGTTTGTTTTGTTTGCTGCAGCATCTCCAGCATCTAAAACATGTCTGGAACTTAGTAGGCACTTAATTAGCATTTGTTCATTGAATGAATGAACAAATGAATGTGTGAATGAACAAATGAAGCCATACCTCATTGCCCTCAGCGTCCCTTCTTATGTTACATTAAAGACCCACTAGAGGGCTGTAAATAACTTCATAATAAAAAAGGAATTGGGACCTCCTCACCAGTCCACCCGCAGAGGCCTGGCCTAATAAGAAACTTTGAGATTTTCATATTGAGCATTTCAAATCTCAGAGAAGACTTTTTTGTGTCTTGAAACAATTTGAAATCAGCGATTATGGAAAAAATTTAAAGTGCTTAATAAAGATTTCTAGGGGGAAAAAGGGACAGATTCTTTGTTTATAGCAATCAGGTACTAAAAGATGTTTTAAAAAGGTGCATGACATAGTATGTGCTCAATAAATAACCATGTTCTAGAAGAGAGAATGAAATGTTATGGAGACTGGCCCTAATAGCAACACACCACTTGATATAAACAGAAGGACAAGGGCCGGCAGAGTGGCGAGTTAGTTAGGAGTTGGCTTGGGATGCCAGCTCTGAGCACCAGAGACCCAGTTTAGATCCCACGTTAGGGCCAGTGACACTGTGCCCTCTACAGCTAAGATGGTGAACAACAGCTCAACCTGGAGCTGGGCTGCTGTGAGTCACCAGCGACGGCATAGGCTGTCGTGAGCCTCTGTGAGTGGCTGTCCAATGGCCGGTGAGCAACTGCCTCACCCGGAAAGAGTGCAATGATAATACCAACATGGGCCAGTGAAGCGACATCCTCCACAACTAGACTGAAGAACAAAATGACAGCAACTTCTCTGTTCCCCTTCCCGATTCCCCAACACTGTTCCCCTCCCCCAATTCCCCAATAAAATCTTAAAAAGAAAAACAGAAGGACAAGACATCTGCAAACTAAGAGACAGCTTTGGATTTAATGGCAGGCAGCTGATGGGAGAATATAAGAATTTTATCCATGAAACCAAATAGTGTTTAGTTTTGAGCTCCATCACATTTTAAAGAGGGATAGTGCCAAACTAGCACCCAAGCATACTAGTTAGGGGAAGGCTGACTTCTGTTCAGTACAAGGATACTGTCCAGACAGAGAGAACCATTCACAAATCTTGCATAGCTTTTCATAATATTTGTGAATTCAGGATATTTGTTAACTCTAAGAATATTGATAATATAAATTGGTTAAGTAGGATGTTAAAACTAATCATGGGTGCTAAGTCCATACTGTATTTTTAAGGGACTAAGGGAGATTTCAGAAAATGGTCCCAATTTTCTTTTTAGGGACAGCACAGTGAAGTTGTAGGAACAGTGGGTGTGAGGACTAGGAATTCAGGTTCGTCTAGCTCTGTTTTTTTGGGGTTTTCTTTTTAAGATTTTATTGGGGAATTGGGGAGGGGGACAGTGTTGGGGAATTGGGGAAGGAAACATTGTGTTTTTCCAGGACCCATCAGCTCCAAGTCAAGTTGTTGTCCGTCAGTGTTAGTTGTGGAGGGGGCAGCTCAGCTCCAAATCCAATTGTGGCTTTCAATCTAGTTGCGGGGGCGGGGGGATGTGGAATGCAGCGGGGGCATAGCCCACCATCCCATGCAGAAGTCAAATTGGCAACCTTGTTGTTAAGAGCACGTGTTCTCACCAGCTTAGCCACCTGGCCGCCCATTGGCAGCTCAACAGCAGCTCAACTCGGGTGCAGCTCACTGGCCCATGTGGGAATCAAACTGACAACCCTGTTGCTCAGAGCTCACACTCTAACCAACTACGCCACCCGGCCAGCCCCATCTAGCTCTGTTTTGATGAGCTAAGTGTCCTAGGGAATCCACTTGACCTCTCTGGGCCCTAAAAAATAAGAGTGTGGGGATAAATATGCTCCAAGAGTGGCAGAGTGAGAAGGGAGTTGGGCGGGTTCCTGGAGGTGATACTAGGCAGAAGGAGGAAGAAAAGTCAGCGAAGA